GTTTTCCTATCATCTATTTATTGATAAAGTATTCGATCAATATATTTTGAAAACATATTTCTCTTATACTTAGCTTTACTGATAATATGATCGATCAAACATTTTTCGATCATTGCACCGGTTCATTTCACAATAGCTATTTGCAATGATCTTCAAAACCTATTATCTTTTTATCTTTAAGCTTTTCTCAGCCCTCTTTTTACACATAACTTTCTATCAAAAAGATATGAAGGCAAATGTAACTTGAAAAAGTTTATTCTTGCATAAATAATTTATGGCTCACTGTATTCATATTTCACCATTTATCGATCAATTGTTCTATCATTGAATGATCTATAATGAACTCGATAAATGCATACAATTGTTGAATCTATCTCTTTATTAATTAATCGATAATATGATCGATGAAAGAGTTATCGATTAAGATATCGATCAAATAAGTTCATCTTACTTTCTGAATATATGAATATCTAATAATTGATTCCATATTTTCCAACTTAATTTTTCTAAGATTATCAGATACTTATCACTTGATTTGAGGAAGATTATTTTAGGTAAAGAGTCACAACAAATTTATGATATGAAGAATCAACTTTTACCAGAAGCTTCCAACGGCTAGTTTCAACGGTCACATTCTTCAAGCCAAATGGGAAGAAGATGCTCAATGGTCAAATGTCCAACATCATCTATAAATAGAAAAGCATTCAAAACGAAAAAAAAAGATGGGAGTCTGAGCTTATAACATCAAATGCTAAAATACCAAATCAACATATTTTTATTTAGAGCTCCGAGAGAAAACTCCCTTTCTCTGAACTTCATATACTATAACATATGTATTCGTAAGATAGAGAGGAGAGTTTCCAGACATGCTTAAGATTCATCTATCACTTATTTGAGAAAAAAAATATTCAATCTTCATTATCATTATCAAATTGTATTCTTACGGTGTGTAACAGGGAATATTTACCTTAGTGTGAGGTTACTGTTGAATAGACTGATTAGTCCAAGGATTGTAAGTGGCGTCACACGTGGCCAGATCAAACTTGTGGTTGTAGTGGTTCTCAAGTGCCTGTCTTAAACTTGAGGGAGATAGTGGATTGAAAATCTCAAGAAGAGCCTAGGGACTGGACGTAGGTCAATGAGGATCGAACCAGGATAAATCACAGTTTGCATCTTCTCTTCCTTTTTTTATATTTCTAGCTAAACCATTTACTACTGTGATTATGCTTATGTCAATTCATTGTTTTTATACTCAGAATTTCTTATGAATTTCTTTATATTACGAAAAGGTTTTTGATTTTAATTAACACCCAATTCACCCCTTCTTAGGTGATCAGCTATTCTTACAACCATTTTGTGAAATTTTATTTTAAATGATAATAAGAACTAAATATTTGAAATATCATTGACAATGTAAAAAATTAATAATATTAGAATTGTACAAAAAATTTAAAAAAAGGGCCTAAATGAGCCAGTCCTTGGCTTTGCAGGATTGGCCCATTTAAGCCCTAGGCCCTCGTAATTTTTGGGCCTAAAGCCCTAAAAGAGCCGGGCCACTTGGCTCTAGTCTTCAATAAGGTTATTAATCTAGGGATCGGCATTTGGGAGTATTTCTTTTTTTTTTTTAAATGAAAACACTGCCAACTACTCAAATAAATAACCAAAGGAGTACAATGCCAAAAACCATCAACCCCCACCTATTGTATAAAAGGTGGTTGTTGATGATAGAGGTGACACGTCTTTGGTGACCTATGAGCGGACTTTGCTAGGAAATCCGCTAAAGTATTTTCTTTCCTATAGACATGACGAATCTGAATCTGCCAATCCCTATGGTAATACATCTGAGCATCTTCTATCAGGTCCCTAAAAGGGTGGTCATCCTCACACCCTCTTAACAAAAAATTAATAACATTTATACAATCAGTATTGATCACAACCTTCCTATACCCTTTGTCCCAACATTGTTTCAACCTATGAATCATCCCAAGGAGTTCTGCAATGCTCGGTGGAATTGTAACTAGTTTACAGCTAAAGCCAAGAAGCCACCGATTGTTTTTGTCCTTTATTACTCCTCTGCAGCTGCTTTCTCCGCTAGGCAGCACTGAACCATCCACCTCTAACGTCACAAAGTCCTCTCTGTCCTTAAAAATGGATGTCTGATTTGTGACTTCATGCTTGTAGAACTTGCATCTTTTTAGAATCTCATTATCCCATGCAGCTCTGAAGAAGGTTGATTTTCCTATTTAAGTTCTGGTCTTACTTTCCACATCAAAGAGCTTGGTACATCTTGAGGTGCATATGTCCCCGCATAAATAACCAAAGAGGGTCGTCCATGAGATCTTCTTGGTGTAGTCTTGTCCAGCTTCATTTATCAGATTCCATCTCACCCAATCAACACCTTGCAAGAAGGCAAAAGTACTCCACTTTGAGGCCGCTACCACCGACTTCTATCTATGTGTTGCATTCGAGCATTCTCGAAGTAGATGCAGATCGTCTTCTTCTTGTGCGCATCTAAAGGGACAGGAGGCCACTAGGTCAATGCCCCTGTTTACTCTGAGTTTAGCTGTATGCAGACTCCCATGTATTAGCAGCCACAAGAAAGTCTTCATTTTCTCTAGGAGGTCACAGCTCCAAACTTTCTTCCAAAGACCGTCCTCTCTCCTTCTTGTACCTGCAGAAAGAAAATGATAGGTAGAGTTTACAGAGAAGGAACCATCAAGGGATGGTTTCCAATAAATTTTATCCTCTCCTCTCTCCTCACCGGGGGGGGTGTGCTTTCACAATACGGTCAATAACACTCTGAGGAAATCAGGTAGACAGCTTCCTTAAGTCCCAATTTCCATACCCATCCACATAGTCACTTACTTTCTCATTGGGATCAATCTGATCTTCTCTTCCGAAAACCATATTAATAAGGTTTGTATTCATCTCTGACCATTGATCGAACCAAAAAGAAGTTCTAACACCATTCCCAATCTTTTTGCCCAGTCCATCCTTGAAACTCTCCCACACCTGACAGATGCTCCGCCAAGTAAGGGAGGAATTTCTCTTCCTTTGGACAGTGGGCGTTTCTTGGTTCCCACATTTGTATTTAGCTCTCAGCACTTGAACCCATAGAGCCTCTCTTTGAGTGGTCAACTTCCAACAAAGTTTCAATATGAAAGCTTCGTTTTGTCTTCTTAAATTCTTAATCCCCAAACCCCCTACTATTCTGTCTTCTTAGACTTTCTCCCAAGATAACAAATGCAGCTTCTTTTTGTCATTAGTATCACCCCAAAGAGACCTTCGGCTTTCTTGTTCCAACTCCTTTAGTAGTTTTTTTGGTAGTAGCATTACTTGCATGTGATACAAGGGCAATGCATTTAACACGGCTTTAATCAAAATTGATCTTCTTGCTAAGTTCAAACTCTTCTTTTTCTATCCTGAGAGTCGAAAATGTGATTTTTGAATGATAGGTGCAAAGGTCGCATAGGAGGCTCTCTCGTGGAATAAGGGTATTCCAAGGTACTTTCCAAGATTTCCTGTGAGGCCTACCCCCATTCTCTGGCTCATCTCTACTGCCCTTGAGTAGTTAATATTCTGGAGAAACATATCTTGGTCTTAGTCATACTCATCCTTTGACCTAACGCCTCGCAGAACCCATTTATACATTGCATCATACAGTCAATTTGCCCGTTCATTGCTTCCATCAAAAGAATCAAGTCATCTGCAAAGAAAAGATGAGACAATCTCGGTCCTCCTCAGCTTAACTTGATTGCTTTCTGAGTACCATCAGCCACTGCATCTTGAATCAAGTGATTCAATCGCTCCATACAAAGGGTGAAGATGTATGGAGACATTGGATCCCCTTGTTTAATTCCTCGAGAGGGGCTAAAACTCTCAGTTGGCTCCCTATTCCATAAAACTCTAATCTCAGGAGTAGTAATGCACGCCATTATCGCCTCAATTAGTTTGTTATTTATCCCAACTGGCATTAAGGTCTCTCTATGAAAGCCCACTCCAGCCTATCATAGGCTCTTTCCATATCCACCTTTACTGCGAGCCATTCTTTCTTCCTTCTCTTATTCTTCAGGCCGTGTACTACTTCCTTGGCTATAATGATATTGCCACTGCTCTGTCTACCTGCTATGAAGCTGCATTGGTGCTTACCGACCACGGTATCCATAATTCGCTTCAGCTTGCTGCTCACAATTTTGGTAATAACTTTGTAGCTCACATTACACAAGGATATGGGTTGAAAGTCTTTCATCTGTTCTGGTCTTTTATTTTTTGGGATGAGGACAAGATTCGTGCTGCTTATCGAGGTGATCCTCACAGGTTCTGTAAATACCTCTTCAACCAACTTGCACACTGACTCTTCAAAAATGTTCCAGTATTCTTGGTAAATAAAAGCTTGTGGTCCATCTGGCCCAGGTGCCTTAAAAGCTCCCATCTCAAAGATTGCTGCCTTGATTTCCTGTCTCGTCACCGTACTGGATAAAAAAGGTTTCTCTGTTTCGTTTATAAGAGGGAAGCCATGTCTAGTTTGGAGGGTTTGAGCATTGGAAAAATCACTCTTAAACAGGTCTTGGTAGAACTTGAGAGCCATCTGTTTCAAAGTGTCTTGTTCAAAAATCCAGTTGCCTTCCAAATCTTGTAACGCCTCTACTCTGTTCTTGCGTCTCCTCATAATGGTTGAATCATGAAAGGATTAACTGTTTTTATCTCCCCATTTCAGCCATTTACACCGAGATTTCTGAAACCAAATCAACTCCTCTTGAGCCATAGTCTTGTTATACTCCTTCCAAAGTTTCCTCTCCACTTGTAGAAGGTATTGGCTATCCCGATTCGATTGTGCTCTTTCCACTCCTTCAATTCTGGTAAGCAGGGTGGTTTTCTCTCTGGATATGTTCCCAATTTTAATTCTGTTCCAATCTCTAGCTTCATTGGTGAATTTTTTAATCTTTTCTTCCCAGGATCCTGAACTCCAACTATTTTGACCATATCTGCAAAACCTTCTTCTAGTAGCCAGGCCGCTTGGCAGCAGAAGATAGCTTTCTCCCTCTGTTTCTAGCAGGTTCAGTTGTGATTACCATGAGCAGCCAATGATCATAGCCAAATTTACTTAAATGGTTTACTCTTGTGAAAGGAAAGAGATGGTTCCATTCCATATTACTGAAAGCCCAATCAATTTTTTCCCTAATGAAGTTCCTCTCCCATGTGAATCGGTCCCCAACACTGTCAATTTCCATTAGATTTGTCTTGTGGACACATTCACTGAATTGCTTCATAGACTTGTAATTCAACACTGCCCCTCCCTTCTTGTCCTCCTTTGTTAAATAAGCATTGAAGTCTGCTCTGGCAACCCATGGTTCATTAATTGTTTTGCTAATTTCTACCATATCTTCCTAGAGGCTGGCTCTCATAGAACATGAAGGTTCAGCATCTATACAGGACAGGAAGAAAGAATGAGCATTTCCCAAATCTGTCACATGGACATGAACCAACTGCGTAGTAGAATTAATAAACCGAATAGAAACTACATCATCCTACCAGAGAATCCAACCCGTTGCTTCTAGTCTTATCCACTTACCAAAACCTAGCTTTCGTATGATTTTATCCGCTTTATTACCATTGACTCTTGTTTCAACAAGAATTAATAAAATACTTTTCCACGCAACAGATCTTGAATTCGACCAGGGAAGTTTTTTGAAGCCACACCGTGGCAATTCCAAGCAATAAAATTAATCATTAAAAAACACAAAAAGGTAGGAAAGTATGGACTCACTAATTTGAGAGTGCAACAGCTCCCAAATCGTCCTCTCCTTGTCCCCCTTCTCGAATGTTCTCATCTGTCTCATACCAACAATCTGTTATCTCCATTATTGCTTTTTCTAATCCATGCTCTTGTATCGAATGAGCTGGGTCCAGTGGTCCTGTTACTATTTCCTGTACCTCCATGTTTGGCTCCCCTATTCCCTCTCCCGACTCACTTCTTTGATTGTCCAGATTGTTATGTGGTCCTTGCATATTATTCTGATGACCGTACTATTCACTGGCTTGATTGAAGTCTATGGGCGCAATATTTGCTAATAACCCAAATACTACTTTGTTAACTCTGCTCGCAGGTCTCTTTTTCATTAGAGGGGACACTATCTTGGGCCTTGTAATTACTGCTCTCTTCTTGCTTCTGCTTCCTTTTTTTTTTCATCTGGGTCTGGGCTGTTTATTTTTGTTCGTCCCCATGGGCCGTGACTCTGCATTGGGCTTAGGTTAGGAGAGACCTTAAATTCAACTTCAGTGTATCTTCTGGTACGCGCCTCTTCTTCTTTTCCCGTCTTCTCCATCTTTTCCTTTGAGCTGTCATTTTCAATTTCCACTGTCTGCCTTATCTTGCTCGTCTCTCCTTTTTCAAGGGTAGGGGTCTCTTCCCTTTGTGTCTCCCCCAACGTCTTCTTTCCTTTTCCCCGTAAGTTCTGCTTGTTCTCTTTCTTCCTCCATTCTTTTGCAAGCGCTGCGGACGGTTGGGAAGAGTTATGGCTCTTTGATGTGACCTGAATTCCTCTTCTTGCAAAACGTCAAATCTGGTGCTCTGACTTATCTTTTGTTCTTTCACCATGTTTTTTCCTTCCCCTATGTCTCTCTGTTGCTTCTTCTTTTCTACCCCTACTTTTTGTGCTTTGGGTTTGAAAGTATTTTTGGCCTTCATCCAGTTTCCGTACGCCTCGTTAGAGCTTCCCCCAAGAATACTCATAAGAGGTTGTTTCTCTCTCTAGTCAATACCCACAGTCTCCGTCGGTGAGGAACCTGACTGGTTCACTGTCGTCGAGGCTCCTTGCTATTCGGTTTCTGGGTTCCTTTCCTCCCCTATTCTTATTCCAAACAAGCAATCCTCTTGTTTGTGCCCATATCTACCACACCCAAAACAAATGGTATTCAACCCTTTGTACTCCACCGCATAGAGCTTCCTCCTTATCATGAATCTTGATTTCAGTTGTTTGTTCAGGTCCACTTCAATGCTCATACGAGCGTGTTTGCCCCTTTCAACCGCTGTTCCTTGTTCGTTTTGTCTAGCCAAGGTGTTCATGTCCAGTTTCAACACTCTTCCAATCATGCTCCCCAATTCCATCATGCACTCCTCTGCATAGCAATACATCGGGAGGATTAGAACTCTGACCTAAATTGCCACTTTTTTCACTCTATTGCAGTAAGGATTGAAAATGGGCCTCCATCTCTGTACTGCCAAATAATGTCCCTGGATTACCCAGGGTCCTCCAAACAATAGCCGCTTGCATAGCTCACTATCTTTCGATCTGAACACATAGTAATTATTTGGGAGGTCAATCAGTTCAAAGTTCTCAGCTTTCAGCAACCATTTAATTCCATCCCTCATTTTATCCAGTCCCATTGTTCTACTCAGTACCGTAATAATGAGAGCATCCTTCCATGGTAAGCATAATTGCCGAAGCCTCTCATCTGGCATATCAAGCTTAGGCAATGTCTCCATGAGCTTTTTCTCTTCTTCTGTTAATTCTAGGGCAGTCTCCTCTTCCTCCTGTAGCCATTCCTTCATCAGTTCATCCAGTTCAGCAAAAAAAGCTTTTTCCTCTGTCCCTATCAGTTTCTCTTTATACGAGATCTGTGTTTTTTGACCCATTGCCCCTTCCTTCTTGTTTTTTTCCAGGAGCATGCGTCTTGCTCACCTCCTCCATGGGAACATCATTGCTCCCATTTCCCAGTTGGTTGGTCGGTTCTCCTTCTGCCATAGGTTCATCCTCATTTAGTTTTTTAACATGGCTTCTTAGTAAGTCTGCCTCTTCCATCGTCTGCTCTGAATTCCTACCGGCGTTGTTGACCGTATCGCTATTTCGCACTCCTGTTTTCCCTCTCTCACCTGCACCGTTATGTTCACACTCTCGCTCACGCTCACCGCTGTTCTCGCTCTTACTCGCCATTAATGCTATTGATTTGAACCTTTTTAGTCACCTTGGTTAAATCAAAAATAAAACTAAATTATGCAGTAAAGCACAACTCGGGTCGAGTCTCTTGAGGAGCTTTTTATTAATTCTTTAGTTAACTAAGTGACAAAGAATTGAAAGGAGGGGTTGAAAAATGATTTTTCAATTAATAAAACTAATTAAGAGAGTAAGAAATAAATCTAAACTACTTTTTTTGGTATTTTTAAGAAAGAATGAAAAATACAAATTTGAATTGTAAGAAATCAATAACAAGAATGCTCTTGAGGAATGAATCAATGACTATCCTAGCTTGTTTAATGATATGGGAGTAACTTAAGTGGTTAAGATTGGTTTATATAAATTATTCCTTTTAAATTAATACTCAACTAGAACATTAATTACTTGTTAAATTCACTTCAAGCATAATTTCTATACAACTTGCATAAAAATCACACTAACAATGAATTAACAAAGGCATAAACATAAATATATGTATAAACCAAGTACTCAAACTTATAAATACTAATACAAATCTCAGCAATTCCAATCCAAACCAAGAATTACAACTAGCAACTCTTAGCTTTAAACCAAATATAACAAACTTCAAACCAGAAATCATCAACAAAATAGTCTAAACTAAGGACTAGAATTAAACTCCCCTTTGTAGCTCCCAAACTCAAGTCATTGAATTCAATCCCAAAGAGCATAGCGAACTCAGCGTCTCATAGTCTTGAACCAAGCTACAACTCATGCCAAAGATTCAGTAGTCATGGAGGATAGATGGAGGAGAAGAAAGATGAATTTGGAAGATTGAAATTGAAGTGTTGCGGCGGTGGTGTATGCATGAAGGGAAGGGTATTGGCCGTGTGTGTGTGGAATTGATGTTGCGGCTTGGGTCTTGAATGTAGAGAAGGAGGATGCGTGCGGCGTGACTGTGTGTCTCTTGCGTCTTGCAATTGATGTGTTTAATATATAACCTAATATCTTTCCAAAATCCATGCCTTTCTTCTCTTGAGTCTTTTTCTTTTCTTTCTTTTTTTAAATACTTTTCCTTTTGTTTCAGCTTTCCTTCTATGTTTATTTCTTTTTCTGAGACCTGTAAAAGATAAATTGAGATATTATCACAAAACCCAAAATCAATTATTTAAAAAGAAATAAAATATGATAAGATTTTCTTTTAAATTTCTAATTTCATGCAATCAGTATTTGATTCAAAATACCTACAGTCAATACAATTTATCCCACTTTAATTGATAAATATCTCTAAAAAGATATCAAATAATATATTAAAATCAGGATTTATCAGCTATCAAAGTTTCCCTCTTGACTTGCTTTGAAATCATTTGGGAGTATTTCTAACTTCAGTCTAAAGGTTTTTCTTTTCCAATCAAATTAGGATGTTTTTAAAATTCCTGATTTACCTTGTTATTTTGGCCGTCGATTAACAGGAACAAGGATTAAAAAGCATTGGGTCGTGGAGATAGGATAGAGAAGTTTCAGAGTTTAATAAAGCATTCCTTGCAAAACTTTTGAGTAGGATGATATTAAAAGCTAAGACGCATCCATTCAAGTTGTCACTTGACACTTCGGGGTGAGAGGATAGAGAAGTTTGGGCCCCACTTGTCGGAGTGGAGAACTGCTGAGTACGGGAAAGGAGTGAGGAACGCTGGGATCGGCTGATCCTTCCTTTCCTCCACCGAATCCAACCATTGTCTTGCTTAATACCCAACATTTACTATACATGTCTGTATATGTGCAAATGTGCAAGTAATGGAAAATTTGATCATATCCAAAGCTTCATGCCCTTGTAATCTATTACTCCCTCTGTTTCTTATTATAAGAGACATTTGATGCTTGTGGCATGTTTCCATATATAATAAACACTTAAAAGTTATCTCTATTTTTTTTATTAATTTTCTATTTTATCCCTATTTATTTTGTCTCTAACTCATACTCTCTCTCTCCTTCCCACTTCTCTTTCTTTTAATAATTTAATTGTTCTCTCTCATACTCTTTCTTCTTATTAATGGGGGCATTGTTGGAAAAAACATTATACTTTTTACACATTAATTATCCTCAACTAATTTTAACTGTTTTTTTTATCAATGTAATTTAGTTATTTGTCTCTTATAATAAAGAACGGAATGAGTATTTATTTCTCGGTTGTGAGACTACCTCTGTTTTTAATCTTGAAAAACAGGGATGTACAGAGTTGTGCTTAATTAGTGTAGGCATAACATTAAAAAGTATCAGTTATGCTTAATTAGTGTAGGCAGATGAAGTTATCGGATTATAAAGACAGGGTATTGCACTCTTGTTTCAATGTATCATGAGATACTTCTATAGCACTTTGAACGTAAGTAATGATTGGAACAGTTTATAAAATACTACTGCTGCAACTAATTATAAGAGTTCTGGGATGTGCATTAAAAGGAGAAGTGTAT